TGAAGATAGCGATGAAGTTGATGACGATCATGATGAGGATGATGATGATGATGATGATGATGATGATGACGATGATGATGATGCTGATGATGAGGATGATGAGGATGATGATGATGATGATGATGCTGATGAGGATGATGGCGGTGATGATGACCATGATCTCGCCGTGGGTGTTAGCGTCAAGTCTGAACTCGCGCGGGTAGTGAACTCCACCTGGTACCTTTGGTGGACGTGTTGGGTGAGCGGCACGTCTGAACTCGCGCGGGTCGTGGACTCCACCTGGTACATTTTGTGCACGTTCGGGGTGAGCGCCACGTCTGAACTTGCGCGGGTATTGAAGTCTATCTGATCCCTTCGGGGACGTTGTGGGTGAGCGGCACGTCTGAACTTGCGCTGGTAGTGAACTCCATCTGGGTCTTTGTGGACGTTCGGGTTGAGCGCCACGTCTTATTTTGCGCGGGTAGTGAACTCTACCTGGTACCCTTTTCGGACGTTAGGGAAGAGCGCCTACGTGACATGTGACCTTAATGTTGGTGCACGTTCTTGCCAGGCTCTTCGATTTCACGCGCTTCCCGTTCATGTCAAGATAGGTTTGGGGGTCGTATCTTAAGACGTCTTTTGCTAACAATGGGCGTTTCGCTCGGGACATCCTCCAAACATCGGGATGTCGAAATCGCTCGCCTAATTTTCGGATCCTCGAAAATGGGTTTTTCGCCCGAGACATCCTTCAGCAAATGAGATGCCGACACAGCTCTTGTAAGGCATCTTTTCGGAGCGATCTCGGATGGCCCCCAAGATGGCCCAAGAAGCGAAAATATTGAAACACCCATGTGTTTTTAACATTTTCGTGAACAAATCAGCGTTTCGTTCGAGACATCCTCACACAATTTCCTCTTCCTCCTCTTCCTCCTCCTCCTCCTCCTTCTCCTTCTCCTCCTCCTTCTGTTCTTCTTCCTCCTCCTCCTCGTCCTCTTCCTTATCTTCCTCTTCCTCCTCCTCCTCGCCTTCTTCCTCCTTCTCCTTCCTCCTCCTCCTCCTCCTCGTCGGTCTTCTCCTCTTCCTCCTACTCCTCCTCCTCCTCTTTCTCCAACTCCTCCTCCTGTTCTTCCTCCTTTTCCCCCTCCTCCTGCTCCTGTTCCTCCTCTTCCTCGTCCTCCTCCCCCTCCTCCTCCTCACCTCTTCTTCTGCTGCTGCCGCTGATGCTGCTCCTTCTCCGCCTCCTCTTCCTCCTCCTCCCCCTCCTTTTCCTCCTCCTCCCCTCCTCCTCCTCGCCTTCCTCCTCCTCCTCCTCCTCCTCTCCCTTCTTCCTCGGTCGTCGTCTTCGCCGTCGTCTTCCTCATGCGGAGGAGTGGTGAGGATACTCAGGAATATGCTTGTGAACGTTCTGGGGGCGCCCGTCCATACGTATCCCTTGTGAGCGTTCGGAGATGTCGCCTGTACTACATTTGATCGCGATGATGCTGCAAGTTCTCGCGCAACTCTTCCCTTTCACGCGCTTCCCGTTCATGTCAGGAAAGGTTCCCCAAATGAGCGTTTCGCCTGAGACATCTTCGCCAAATCGTGAAGTTCGGGGTCGCATCTTGAGACGCCTTATGCTAAAAATGAGCGTTTCGCCTGAAACATCCTGAAAAACTCGGGATGTTGAAATCGACGTCCTAATTTTCGAGATATCGGTCATGGCCGTTTCGCCTGAGACATCCTCGAACAAGTAGGATGTGTAAAGGGTTGTTTTCAAGCATCTTGTCGGAGTAATCTCGGATGAGCTCCAAGATGACCGAAGAAGGCGAAATTGTTGAAAAACCAACGGGTTTTCCACAGTTTTGTGTAAAACCTAGCGTTTCCATCGAGACATCCCCTCAAACTTCTCTCCCTACGTTTGCGTTGGCGTCGGAGCTGGCCTTGGTGTCGGCGTAGGCCGTTCACAAACGTTTCATGCATGAAACTTTCGTGTGCGCTTGCGTTGGCGTCGGAGCTGGCCTTGGTGTTAGCGTCCTCCGTTCAGAAAGGTTTCCTGCATGAATCTTTCGCGAGCGCTTGCGTTGGCGTGGGAGCTGGCCTTTGTGTTAGCGTAGGCATGTCACAAAAGTTTCATGCATAAGACTTTCGCGAGCGCTTGCGTTTGCGTCGGAGTTGGCCTTGGTGTCAGCATAAGGCTTTCAGAGAAGATTCATGCATGAAACTTTCGCGAGCGCTTGCGTTGTTGCGTCGGAGCTGGCCTTGGTGTCAGCGGCAGCCTTTCAGAAACGTTTCGTGCATGAAACTTTCGCGAGCGCTTGCGTCGGGTCGGAGCCGGCCTTGGTGTCAGCGTAGGCCTTTCAAAACAGTTTCATGTTTGAAACTTTCGCGGGCGCTTGCGTTGTTGGTGTCAGCGTAGGCCTTTCAGAACAGTTTAATGCATTTAAACTTTCGCGAGCGCGCGCGTTGGTGTGGGAGCTGGCCTTGGTGTCAGTGTCAGCCTTTCAGGACCTTGGTGTCAGCGTAGGCCTTTCAGAAAAGTTTCATGCATGAAGCTTCGGCGAGCGCTTGCGTTGGCGTGGGAGCTGGCCTTGGTGTCCTAGTCAGCCTTTCAGAAAAGTTTCATGCATGAAACTTTCGCGAGCGCGCGCGTTGGTGTGGGAGCTGGCCTTGGTGTCTGCGTCAGCCTTTCATAAAAGTTTCATGCATGAGACTTTCTCGAGCGCTTGCGTTGGTGTGGGAGCTGGCCATGGTGTCAGCGTCAGCCTGGCCTTTCAGAACAGCTTCATGCATGAGACTTTCGCGAGCGCTTGCGCTGGTGTCGGAGCTGGCCTTGGTGTCAGCGTCAGCCTTTCAGAGAAGTCAGAAAAGTTTCATGCATGAATCTTTCGCGATAGCTGGCGTTGGTGTGGGAGCTGGTCTTTGTGTCAGCGTCAGCCCTTCAGAAAAGTTTCATGCATGCAACTTTCGCGATCGCTTGCGTTGGTGTGGGGGCTGGCCTTGGTGTCAGCGTAGGCCTTTCAGAAAAGTTTCATGCATGAAACTTTCGCGATCGCTTGCGTTGGTGTCGGAGCTGGCCTCGGTGTCAGCGTCAGCCTTTCAGAACAGTTCCATGCATGAAACTTTCGCGAGCGCTTGCGTTGGCGTCGGAGCTGGCCTTGGTGTCAGCGAAGGCCTTTTCAGAAAAAGTTGCATGCATGAAACTTTCGCGAGCGCTTGCGTTGGGTCGGGGCTGGCCTCGGTGTCAGTGTAGGCCTTTCAGAAACGTTTCATGCATGAAACTTTCGCGAGCGCTTGCGTTGGTGTCGGAGCTGGCTTTGGTGTCAGCGTAGGCCTTTCACAAACAAGTTTCATGCATGATTTTTTCGTGTGCGCTTGTGTTGCGTCGGAGCTGGCCTTGGTGTCAGCGGCAGCCTTCCAGAAAAAAAACATGCATGAAGCTTTCGCGGGCGCTTGCGTTGGGTCGGTGCTGGCCTTGGTGTCAGCGTCAGGCGTCCAGAGAAGTTTCACGCATGAAGCTTTCGTGTGTGCTTGTGTTGCGTTGGGGCTGGCCATGGTGTCAGCTTCTTGAAACTTTCGCGAGCGCTAGGGTTGGTGTCGGAGCTGGCCTTGGTGTCAGCGTAGGCCTTTCAGAACAAGTTTCATGCATGAATCTTTCGTGTGCGCTTGCGTTGCGTCGGAGCTGGCCTTGGTGCCAGCGTAAGGCGTTCAGATAAGTTTCATGCATGAATATTTCGCGAGCGCTTGCGTTGGTGTCGGAGCTGGCCTTGGTGTCAGCGCAGGCCTTTCAGAAAAGTTTCATGCATGAAACTTTCGTGAGCGCTTGCGTTGGTGTCGGAGCTGGCCTTGGCGTCAGCGGCAGCCTTTCAGAAAAGTTTCACGCATGAAACTTTCGCTTGCGCTTGCGCTGGTGTGGGACCTGGGCTTGGTATCAGCGTAGGCCTTTCAGAGAAGTTTTATGAATGACATTTTCGCGAGCGCTTGCGCTGGTGTGGGAACTGGCCTTGGTGTCGGCGTAAGACGTTCAGAAAAGTTTCATGCATGAATCTTTCGTGTGTGCTTGTGTTGCGTTGGGGCTGGCCTTGGTGTCAGCGGCAGCCTTTCAGAAAAGTCGCAGCTGGCCTTGGTGTCAGCGTAAGTCGTTCAGAAAAGCTTCATGCATGAATCTTCCGTGTGCGCTTTCGTTGCGTCGGAGCTGGCCTTGGTGTCAGCGGCAGCCTTTCAGAAAAGTTGGAGCTGGCCTTGGTGTCAGCGTAAGGCGTTCAGAAAAGTGTCATGCATGAATCTTTCGTGTGCGCTTGCGTTGCGTCGGAGCTGGCTTTGGTGTCAGGAAGGGGATTCCAATGCGAAGGGGAGGAGGAGGCGGGAGGACAAACAATTCGCTCATGCGAATCCTAGGGGGGCGGGGATACAGCAGGGCCGTATATGTTCATGTGTATATCCTTCCTTCCCGAGCCTTATCAATGGCGCCTCTTGGGTAGTCTTGAAGGCGGCGTGATTCGTCTTCAGGCCATTTTGGGCAGTTTTGCGGCGACCGTGGAGGCTTCTGAAATCCGTGCTGGATTTGCACGTCCGTTCTATTTGAATCCGTCCCGGAGGCCGGTTTTAGATAGAATTCCAAGTAGAATCTGCCTCGGATGCACGGGGCAATCGGGTCCGACTAACTCGTGTATGCAATATACAGGTTTCATTGGGGTTATCATAGGAATCCTCGGATGATGTTGCGTTCTTGATGATGTTTGCGTTCTCTCCTTTTCGGGCTTCCGACACGCCAGGGCGGCACAATGTATTTGTTATATTCCCTTAAGACAGCAGAGGAGGCCCCCAAGAGGGCCCCATGACGGCCCAAGAGAATCCCAAGGTGGCCCAACACTGCCTTCAGTTAAGGCGGCCTTCAAGACGACCAAGATGGCCTGCAAGAGGGATACTATTACCTCCAAGTTGGCAAAGACGGTCCACGATTACCTCCAAGACAGCTCGAAAATGCCTCCAAGTTCGTCCACGATGGCTGCAATATGACCCGAGCTATTCCCAAGACACCCCGTAGCGATTTTTTGCTCAAGCGGCCATTCTTGCCATTCACTTGACACTTACTTGCATCTTACTATTCTTGCCATTCACTAGCTGCGGGTTTCGCCATGCATCCTCTTGTTCTTGCTGCTCAGCAGTGCCTGGCCGACCAATTGTAAACGCGACATACCCTTCAAGTCCGAGCAGAAGATGCGTGCTGACGGTCTGTGCACGGGGTGGCTTACACCGCTTATGGCCAATTGGGCGACGGAACCACAGTTGACAGGCATGAGTTCGTGCAAGCGATTCCAAGTGGGGTGATTGCTGCTGCAGCAGGTAATTATTTCACGGTGGTCCTGCAGAACGACGGGTCTGTGCACACGGTGGGTTGGAACGGTCATGGCCAATTGGGCGATGGAACCAATTTTGACAGGAATGAGTTCGTGTAAGTGGTTCCAAGTGGGGGAATCGCTGTTGCAGCAGGTCACTCTCACACGGTGGTCCTGCAGAACGACGGGTCTGTGCACACGGTGGGTGAGAACAATTATGGTCAATTGGGCGATGGAACCCAAGTCAGCAGGAATGAGTTCCTGCAAGAGGTTCCAAGTGGGAGAATTGCTGTTGCAGTAGGTGGTCATAACACGGTGGTCCTGCAGAACGACGGGTCTGTGCACACGGTTGGTTTGAACAATTTTGGCCACTTAGGCGACGGAACCACAGTTCACAGGTATGAGTTCGTGCAAGTGGTTCCAAGTGGGGGGATTGCTATTGCATCAGGTTATTCTCACACGGTGGTCCTTCAGAACGACGGGTCTGTGCACACGGTGGGTCGGGGCACTTATGGCCAATTGGGCGATGGAACCAATGACCAAAGTAGGAAGGAGTTCGTGCAAGTGGTTGCAAGTGGGGGGATTGCTGCTGCAGCAGGTGGACATCACACGGTGGTCCTGCAGAACGACGGGTCTTTGCAGGCGGTGGGTTTTAACGGTTGGGGCGAATTGGGCGATGCAACCACAGTTGACAGGAATTCGTTCGTGCAAGTGGTTCCAATTGGGAGCGGCATGGTGCCCTCGCTCCCAACGCCCTTCCCCACGACCGCGATGCCGTCGGCCGCTGGTGATCCCCACCTGCAAAACATTCATGGGGAGCGGTTCGATCTGATGAATCCGGGCAGGCACGTTCTGATCAACATCCCTCGTGCAGAGGGGGGCGACAGAGCGATGTTTCGATTGCAGGCTGATGTTTTTAGTCTGGCCACCAATTGTGGCGACCTTTACTTTATTTCCAGGCATTGAACGTGTCTGGGATTTGGGCAGAAGCAAAACAAGGAGGAGGATACCATTACAGTGTGTCGCAAACTGACGCCATGTCTCCAGGATGGGCTGAATTCGGCAAAGTCGCCTTGAACATCGTGATTGGACACACGGGCAGAGACGTTCAGTACTTGAATACTCCAGACTTCGTAGTAAAGGGAGTGGGGTCTCATTTCGGGGGGGGGTCTCTTCCAGGCTATCTTGGAGGGCCTGGGGGGTCTGGGGACGATGTTTTGGAGGGTTCTCCCACGGGGGAGGTCTGAAGTGGCTTGTCTTGGAGGGTCCAGACCCCCTCCCTTTAATTACGAAATCTGGAGTGTCCAGTTGCCTGCGGCAAGTCCCGCCACCGTGCCTATCCAGGTATCTCGGTGGTCTTTGCGCGAGGGAGCACGGGTGTCCCAGCCTGTGGCGCCTTGTGTGTCCAGGCTAGACGGTGGTGATGTGGATGATGGTCGTGGTGATGATGGTAGTATGATGATGACGGCAGAGGTGTCCCATGTACTCCAGATTTCGCAATAAATGGGAGGGGGTCTGTCCCCTCCAAGACAAGCCATTTCAGACCTCCCCCGTGGGAGAACCCTCCAAAACATCGTCCCCAGACCCCCTAGGCCCTCCAAGATAGCTTGGAAGAGACCCCCCCGAAATGAGACCCCCCTCCCTTTATTACGAAATCTGGAGTACTCTCTGAAGCGAGACATGTGGCCCCTCTTCCAAAACAGGTTGGCGTCACTTTAGCTCTACTGCAACACAGAATTGTCTAGATACGCTTTAACTGTAAATTTCTTTTGCTAACATACGGAAGTGCCTGGAGACGATTTGTCTCGACACTTCCTCTCTGGCGCTCTTCTCCCACGAGGCAGGCGCCGATGCCGTCGTACGTGACGCCCCGGCCGTTTCGGAGAAGACGAACGCAATGATGATGATGATGATGATGATGATGATGATGATGATGATGATGATGATGATGATGATGATGATGATGATGATGATGATGATGATGATGATGATGTTGTTGGTGATGAGGATGAGGATGAGAAGGAGGAGGAGGAGGATGAACAGGAAAATGATTACCGTCACACCTTCTGTCTTCACCTCTCGAGGGGCCGAAAGCACTTTTGAGGAGATGTCGCTAGCGAAACGCCTATGTTGTAACAACGTTGTTGAACAACCGTGGGTTTTTCAATACTTTCGTTTTCTTCGGCAATCTTGGAGGTCATCCGAGATTGCTTTGAAAAGATGTGTGAAGACAATCATTTGCACGTCCAACTTTTTCGAGGATGTATCTTTGGCGAGATTCTAATTCTCAAGGTTCCGAGGATTAGGCCGTCGATTTCAGCATCGTTTTCCGAGGATCTCTTTGGCGAAGCGCGCATTTTTAGGATAAGGCACTTTACAAAATACATCCAGCTTCGCGGTTGTGGGGGGTCGTCTCAGGCGAAATGCCCAATTCCAAGGGGGGCGCACGAACTCAAACCAGTTCGAGTAGAGGGGGGGTGGGGGGCTCCTCAGAAGATTACCAGACATCCTACCAGGAAGCACTTTGCATTCTTGCTCGCCTCAACGTGCTAGGGAGCACGATGGCGGGTTTTTGTGAAGCACTTGGGCCAGTCTGGATTTGATATTGGAGGTCTGCTAGGTTAGGATGATCACGAAGAGGCAAGTACTCCTCCTGAGACTTGCGTCAATCGCGTGTCTCCTGCGAAGGGCGTGGGCGCTGCCTCTTTTCCAATCAGGTCTGTCGCGGAGGCAAACTTGGCGTAAACGTGGCAAGCGCCGCGACGTCGATCCCGTCGTTGTTCTCAGGGCATTGCGCTTCGTTCTCTAGGCATTGCGCTTCGTTCCCGCTTTTTTGCGCATAGGCAGAAGTCCTGAAGCTGGCCACTTCAGGCCGGTCCTTGCGGCTAGAACGCTACGCTCACAATTCGGCGAGCACGTTGCCTTCGTGAGCGTCTCCGTCCCCGACTATTTGTACTTTCCTTTCCTCTCGGAAAAATGTACCCCCCCACCTTCCACGCAACACCCTTTCCCCCCGATGATAGACCAGACTCCCAGGTTGCCGCCCTCGGCCGCTTTGTAGCGCATAGGCGCAGTCCTAAATCTGTCCACTTCACGCCGGTCCTTGCGGCCGGAACGCTACGCTGTACGGCTATCAGTAGTGACAGGTCTAGGTCTATGTTGCTCCACAGCGACGCCGGCTCAATAAGCCGTCCGGCGTTGCTGCGGGCGCCGTCATAGGTTAAGCTTGTTCCTCTGCAGCTGAAGAATTGAAGATGCCCCCACCCCTCGGCGCCAGAACACCAGGGCCACGAGAACGGATGAAGATGAGAAAGAGGAGGGAGGAGGAGGAGGAGGAGGAGGAGGAGGAGGAGGAGGAGAAGGAGGACGAGGAGGAGGAGGAGGACGAGGAGGGAGGAGGAGGAGGGGGAGGAGGAGGAGGAGGAGGAGGAGGAGGAGGGGGAGGAGGAGGAGGAGGAGTCGTTACCATACGCTCCCTGCCGCCGTTTATATATGTATATGTATATGTATATATATATATATATATCCCTGGGGGCGAGGTCGGGGGCCCCAGGACAGGGGCGAGGTGGTGGGCACATTGATCTCATTGTGTGACAATTGTACTTGTTCCTTCCTCTATTCTCTTTGCTTCGTCGCCACATTTCTGACTGAATTGGACTTTGATTGTGACTGATGCCTCACGTGCGGAGCCTCACATCCAGGCGTATGCGTCGTGCTCGGGCCTGCCATCTGAGATGGGTCCGATCAGCATCACCATTCTCTTACATTCTTTGGTTTGTGCATGTTGTTTCTTTGATGGAAATATCGTAACACGGTCGGTTGTCGCATCATCGATGTGTCTCTGAGGTTTCGACATACTTCGGACTTTGTGTTTGCATTGACTCTTGCCATGCTGTGTGTGTGTGTCGGGCATGCGCGCATGTTGGTATAAGAGCTCCGCGTGCTTTTCACTTTGTTCGGAATAAGAGTTTCGCATGTGCCCACTTCCGCTCTAAGAGTGGTGGGTGTCTTGCCTGACTCTGTATGCCGCCCTTTTTCCTGCTAGCGACTGGGCCTGACGGCCCGCATAGTCGATCGCAAAGACCGCAAAAAAAGACAGGTGCCTCGACCCCCCATGGCGGGACGGGGAGGGCCTGGAGCCTCCCTGGAGCAGCCCAGGCGGCCCAAGAGTGCCCCGAGAGCGCTCCACGACAGGCCCAGCAGGCTCCAAGAGGCCCAAGAGGACGCCAAGAGGGCCCCAAGATGCCCAAGAGAAGCCCAAGACGGCCAAGAGGCCCCCAAGACGCTCCAAGAGCCAAGAGGCCCCCCCAGAGGGCCCCAAGAGGCCAAAATCGTTCATTTTACAAAGGTTTTGGGTACATTTTGCCTTTCCCGCCTTTTCAGCTTTCCGACGCTCCACGACGGCTCAAAGGCCCCCCGCGGACGCCCCAAGACAGCCCAAGAGGCCTCCAAGAGAGGCTCAAGACGGCTCTGGAGGGCCCCAAGACGGCCCAAGACGCGCCCAAGACGGGCGAAGAGAGGCCCAAGACGGCCCCAAGAGGGCCCCAAGAGGGGAACCGCGAACCGGAAATTCGAGCCTCCCGCCTCCACAGGGCTCCGGGAGGCCCCAAAGGGGCCCCAAGAGGCCCCAGGACACCCCCAAGATGCACCCAGGAGGCCCAGTGCCCGAAAACAGTTGCCCCGACCCTCTATGGCTCATTTTCCGTGTGTTTTTACAGGGTTTCCGCGTCCTGGGCCTCGGAGGCCGCCGCCTCCGACCCCCCATGGGAGGACGGGGCGGCCGGGGAGGTCCAAAATAGTCCAGGAGGGCCTCCAGAGGCTCCCAAGACGGCCCAAGCGGGCCCCGAGTCGCCGAAAGACCGCTCCGGGACGCCCAAGATAGGCCCAAGACGGTCCGAGAGGCCCCCCAAGGCATTCCACGACGCTTCAAGACGCCTCTCCAGAGATCTCCCAAGGTGGCCCCAAGAGGCACAACTCATTGTTTTACGATTGGGCTTTGACAGGTTTTGATTTTTTCGGCCTTTTGGCATCCCGATGCTCCAAGACGGCGCAAGAGGCCCCCAAGTGGTCCGACGAGGACCCCAAAAGCTCCCCGAGGGCCTAAAAGGCCCCTAGGAGACGTCCAAGAGGTTTAAAAATAGCCCAAGAGTGCCCTCGATGCGTCAAAACTGCTTCCAGGAGGCCCCCGGGAGGCTTTTGCATTGCCTCAATCTGGCCGCAGGTGGCCTCAAGTCGGGCCTCCGCGCAGCCAAGACGGCCAATGACGGCTTCAGATTGCAGAACCGATGCCCCCGAGGGACCCTCAGACGCCCCCCCAAGAAGCACCCAAGAGGTGCCTCCAACAGCCAGTTGACGAAGCATGCGGAACACCCCAGAAGCTCCTCAGATGCCGTCGCGCGCCTGTGCTTGATAGCGTTGTCCAAGATCGCCCAGTGCCCCCCCAGCCTGGGCTAGAACCTGAGTGCGCGCTCAGGATGGCCTGGACAGTATGCCCGGGCCCAGGCATACTGTCCTGAGTCCTGAAGAGATGAGCATCTCACCCAAATCCACAATTCCCGGATTCCTTTGGGCCTTCGGAGACTCCGCGACAACGTTAAGAAGCCGGGAGGCGCGGTACCGGCCAGATGTCAGGGGATATGTAGGACCCCCGAGAAGGAGTTCTGCTTTGATGAAAAAAAAGAATTCTTGGAATTCCTCTTCTTTCCCCCAAACTCCTCGATCTTTGAGGGCTGGAAGCGGGAAAACGTGAGAAGGCGAACAACATAGGAAAAAACCATGGGGAATCAACGATTTTACGCTCTTTGGGCTCTCTCGGGACGTCTCTCGCAGCTCTCTTGGGCTGTTCTTGGAGCCTCGTCGGGGTCTCTTTGGGGCCTCTCAAGGATGGGGGATGTGTTGGGGGCCTCTGGGGGGTCCCGGAGGCCTCTCGGAGGTCTCTGGAAGCCTCCTGCTCCCGCTCTTGGGCCCATCTTGGGCCTGTTCTGGGGTGGTCTGGGGCTGTGCTGGGCGCCTCTTCGGCAGTCTTGGAGCCTTCTTGGCCTGTCTTGGGGCCGTCCTGAGGGTCTCTTGGGTGGTCTTGGGCCGGTCTTGGGAGGCTCTTCGGCGCTCTTGGACCGTTGGAAGCTTGAAAACGCGAGAAGCCAAAAACATTGAAAAGACCATTGAACATATACGACTTTGGCCTCTTCGGGCCGCACCGTGATACTTATCAGACTTCTTGGGGTCTCTTGGAAGCCACCTGGGAGCCTCGAGATCTTTTCAGCGCGTTCTGGGAGCATCTTCCCGGAACGCGCTCGTGGGAGGGCGCCCACGTCCGAGGACGTTGGCATGGGAAACCGCAGCGCGTGACCATTCCAGGCGTTCCGGCGGACTCCAGGAAGACTGCATGTCTTATGAGGATGGCTTCCGCCTCTTGCCCCGAGCAACCCAAACTGCCTGAACGGTTCCCACTCGCCTTCCCCAAACCCAGCGCTTGCCCAAGCGCGTTCCGGACGAAAGACCGCTCCAGGACGCCCAAGATATGCCCAAGACGGCCCGAGAGGCCCCCCAAGGCACTCCACGACGCTTCACGACGCCTCTCCAGAAAGCTTCAAGAGGCCGAAATCGTCAATTTTACAGAGGTTTTCGAACGATTTTGGCCTTCCAGCCTTTTCGGCTGTCCGACGTTCCAAGACGGCTCAATAGGCCCCCAAGAGCGCCCTAAGACAGCCCAAGAGGGCCCCAAGAGGGCCCCAGAGTCGCCCAAGACAGCCCAAAAGAGCCCCAAGACGGCCCCAAGATGCGCCCAAGAGGGGGACCACGACTCCAAAGTTCGACCCTCCGGCTTGAAGAGTGCCCCAGGAGGCCCCAAGGAGCCCCCAAGAGGCCCCAGGAGGCCCCCAAGAGGCACCCAGGAGGCCCAAACGAGGCCTAAAGAGGCCACAAAACAGCCCCGAGGAGGCCCCACAACGGTCCCAAAACGGCTACCGAGAAGCTGCGAAACTGCCTTCACGACGTCCCCGACAGGCCAACCACGAGATCCAAACCAACACCCATGAGGCCTCTGACTCACCACCCAGGGTACGGTGGCGGGAGCAGTGACAGCACTTGTGCACAGCATGTTCCCGCGGGAGCCTTCCGGAACACGCTGCAGGAGGAGGAGGAAGATCAGGAGGAGAGAGAGCTGGAGTGGGAGGAGGAGGAGGAGGGGACGAGGAGGAGGAAGAGGTCTCCAAGACACCCCTCTTGCTCCCTCCCCTCTCTCGGAGTTTGATGGACCTCCTACCCTGACGCGTCGATTCGGGAATTGGCCGTCTTCGGTTCGCGAGGGGGCGTCGCGGCCGTTCTTTTTGCGGGTCCACGTCCGTCGGTTTCGGTCCTAGGCCGTTTTCACTAAAGGGTGGTTTACTCAAGGGAGTTGTGTCCACCGCCGGCTCTCCTCCCTCCCCCCTCCCTCCCTGCCCAAACCTGCAACGTATTGAACAAAATCCAGGCGGAGGCTTTTCGCAGTTTTCGGCCGCTCGGGGCCCTCGCCGGTCCCCGAGGCCTCGAAAGGACGACTCGGGATGAAAAATCGGCCGTGAGGAAGGATCAGTATTTCCAGATACCCCGTATTGAAAAATTGTAACGTCGGATGTCTGGAGAGCTTGTCTACGCATGAGACCCAGGCGTTGCACTTTTTCCCAACCATCCTGTGGGGTTGGGTCCTCGTTTTGAAGACGGTCCCCGCGTTCCTCCTCTCTCCTCCCTCCTCCCTCCTTCCCCTCCTTCCTCCTCCCTGCGTTTCACCCACCCAGTACAGCGTTTCGTGGCCCCATAGGGAGCTCCACCGAAGGCCCCAGTGCTACCCTCCACATGCGTCCCCCACACCCATTTCGGCACACCACTCACACGTTTCGTGGCCCATTAGGGAGCTCCACCGAAGGCCCCAGTGCCACCGTCCAAATGAGTCCCCCACACCCATTTCGGCACACCCCTCACGCGTTTCGTGGCC